GCTCGTAGTTCTTTGGCTGGTCCTCCTGGCAGAGAGCACGAAAGAAAGAGGCCAACCTTCCTCTCGTCAGAAATCGTCAGATTGCTGTCCCGTTCTCCGCTGGAAAACAACTTGTGACCGCCATTTCGATACAACTGCCTTRGTTTTCCCCCGTTAGGCSAAATGGTTTGTGCCAACTTCGTGGTTGAGAATGACAGATTGATTTTGGTTGTGTACTTCACAACGTTCTTTGTGTTTTGGGTTTAGGGTGATGTCTGTTTGTACACACCACTCCGGGACACCACGCTGGGACACCACYCTCTAGAAACAYAAMGAAAGTCGTGAAAATCACACCAAAAATCGATCAATTTGGATCACAAACGATCTCTTTAAACGAAGGAAAAATGAAGAAAGTCTATTTTAACTTAATGGCAGAGTTTTGTACCTTTTCTCTTCCGTTAAACCCGGTCATTGTTGTACTAGCCTGATTCTATTCGAGTTCGAACTATGTATGACCTGTGTGTGTGTGTGTTTGTGTGTTTGTGCGTTCGTGTGTGTGTGTGTGTGTGTGTGTGTGTGTGTGTGTGTGTGTGTGTGTGTGTGTGTGTGAGCAGCTGCAAAAGGTTTACCATTCATGGACTCGTCATTCTCTCCGCCTTGGACCTTTATCCATTATCTCATTTTCTGTATCTGGTACCCYCTCTCTTTTTGTTATTTCCTTCCTCTGCCTMATACCCTCTTTTGCGAGTACCTTTCTGTCTGTTCCTGATACCTGCCCGTATATTTTGCTGCACCTGGTATKGTAGTTGTTCTCAGTACAACCTGTCCAGGACCCAGTGCCTCGTAACGCGTGTGCGGCTTCTGCCAATCACAGCGCGCCTCAYGAGGACAGTGCCGGACCGGAAAACAAACCTGTATGYGTTCATTACACGGGCGCGTTGCGTTGTSTACGAGGCAAGACGGTAATGATCCCGTTGCTTGTTTCCCGCCTTGTGATCTTTCGAGCCTTGGAAATGACACAAGCATTCACTACTCTTCCCTCTTGTTTTGGGTCCTACGAGGACTCGTCAGGACCCCTGTGAGGGCCGTGAGGCAGGTAATGGCGAGCCAGCCACGCATACGACGCACGATCGATCCCTCACAARKTCTCTAATAAGATCTTCTGCTYAATTATTAAAGTTACCTCGCTGCTAATTTTTGACGCGTACAGGGAGTGTTTACATTTTTTTCCCCACGATGCATGTCAACCTGATTCGCGCAGCGGGAATGTCACTCTGACTTGATCTGTGTATGCTGTCAATTTCCGGGCGAGTATATCGGCATGTCAAGCTAAGTCCGTTAGTATTTTGATGCCAGTCAGGGTGCGTCCTTTGGAAAATCCGTCAAAGTTGGATTCTGYTGGAACGATAGCATGGCCGCTGCGCAAGGATGAATCGCACAAAGCGAGAAATGGTCAGAAAAAAAAGAAAGCAYGCCTGGGACCTCTATTTGCTGTTGCCTTTTCTTGTCTCCCCTTTCATAGCACCGTACGGCAAAAGAGAATTTTTTCATAACGAGTTTTCTTTTGTGTAACCAAAGAAAAATAAAACAAGAAAAAAAGAGGAATTCTCTGACTGTGCTTAGTAATGCAAGATTTCTGCTCACAAATAAGACCAGTCACGTCTTAGGTGCTCGATAACTTCAAGAATGCACGGCCGAACTGAGAGGATAAGGAGAATTGTCGTCAGCACGACGCAGCAGTGATTCAGTGACGACGTGCGTTCTTGGTGTCGTCATRAACACAATTTCAACMACCTTTACTTGATGAATAWGCAGACAGTCGAAATTRGCAGCACAACKGGTTTTCGTTWTGAATCAATCATATAGGGTTCACCAAAAGTCCTTGCACGGACATAGGAAAACACCCGATTTAACACAACACGTGGCAGTTAGATACTCTACACAGCCCAGCGATAACACAAACTGTCGACGAGTAGAGGGTCCAAAAAACAACAATTCTCAGCGCAGAGACGAGGCTCATCCAGGCCGCTAGTTGGGGAGTTCGAACAGGGCGCAAGTCGAGAAATCACACAAAACAGAGGGCAGGATCGAGAGAGAGAGAGAGAGAGAGAGGGGCTGAAAAAGAGAGAACACACGGGGTATAGATATAAACTTGCTCAAAACAGCGGTGTCGAACGACAAAACAAAGAAGGTCGGGCCCATGGTGTCAAACATTTCCTCTGAGAGGTCGAGAGGAGTTTCCCGAGAGAGAGACCGTGTTCGAGCGAAGTCCATTGGCACAGTCGGTACACCCATGCAGTTATGAAATGGAGACCGAAGTAGCTGCGGCCGGTCAGCTCAAGGCCGTCGCCCTTTTGAAAATAAAAAACAAAAAATAGTGGAGTGAAGTCCATTCGCTCCGGACTMAGCGGGTTGCGCGGGCTGTGCCGTGTGCTTGGTTGCTCTGTGACCAGACTCTGCGCCGGCCACGGTATCAGTATTTGGTCCAGAGAGTAAACTAAGTACGGCTATAATGAATRATGATGGGGTGCCGACGATAAAATCCACGACCGCCTCGGCGCGACGCGTGGTCTCACCAGGTAGGTAAGTAAGGGCCAGATCCCACTGGCAAAGAGGATTGGAAGGAATATCTGAATCTGGACGTGTTTGTCGACAGTTGCGAAAAATTGTGATTGATCTGGGAGCATTACACGGAGTTCGCTTTTCACAGGACCCATTGGGACCCCGGCCTTAAGGTTATAGATATTGGTGAAATATAAGCCTTGCCCTGCGGCTGCCAGCTATCACCCGAGTGGAACGATACAGAGAAGATTAGCATGGCAAAAAAGGTCCCGCGGGGCTTGACACGTGCTTTCTCCACGTAGGTATCTGAGAGAGCACTTGACACTGCACAGACAAGAAAGAAAAGAATATCAGGACAACCATGGGCTGCGGCTGCCAGCTATCACCGTGGATCCTTGACCTCTACAACACCCTGGGCTTAGGAAAAAAAAGAAAAGGACTAGTCCCTGCAAATGGAATCATGGTCTACCATCAGTACCTAGCTTAGCTATCAAATCCGAGGCCTGGACCCCACTGGCCGGCGGCCTGGAAAAGTTTGGGCGCTGTACTGTTTTCCAGAACCCGCGGTGTTGAAAACCGGTCTGGAACGTCGGCCTGGAAAGGAATTCCAGACCCCACCGTGCTTGGACGCCGAAATGCTGATGGGGCGTTTCTACTCGGTCTGCGGTCTGGAAATTCAATGCCAGCCACTTTCCATTCCCTTTCCAAGGAGGGCCCCAGACGAGAAGGGGCGGGTGCATGTCCATCCGTTTCCAGACAACGGCTGGAAGGCATGGACCACACACCCTTGTTGTTGACCGTTTTTTGGACTGGGAGGCCGCCACGGACATGCTCTTGTTTTTTTGCCGTCGCACGGGTTCCCCCAAGGGCCCGGGGTCTGGGCCATCCATGCTCCCCTCACTTTACGAACGGCATGCTGCAGCATTCAAAATTCGAATTTTTGGCGGGCTGAGGACGAAGGCCAGGCATGCAATCACGACATTCACTTCCTAAGCGTGCATGGGGAGCATGAGCAGTGATTTCAATAGCTGGCCGTCGCCGACACCTCCATTACCCCTGCGGGGTCCGTGCATGATGCCATCGCTCATCTCCTTCGCGAGTGCAGGGCTCGAGGCCTGTCTACGGGAAAGCCGTTTCGGGTGGCGTCGTCAGGCGGTCTCTGGCCGGGGCTTGCCTTCGGAAGGTTTGGGTTGTGTGGCGAGCAGCTCTGTGGAATGCGCGGACGAGAACCTGCGCTCTCAGTGTGCGCCCTCGCGCACACGTACCGACCGGTGCTGTGCTCCCGTGTTGTGGCCGTGACGCATTCCGTGCTCCGTTGTCTACCTCCCTTGCCATCCTCACTTCTTCGTCTACCTCGCCARGGCGCGCRTTTGTCCTCGCCAGAGAGCAACCCCAGCACATGTGGGCAGGGATGGGCTTCACATAAGGGTGTGGTTATAACTCCTCATCCATACACTTGCCACGTGTCAGTCGTCGAACGCTATCTTCGCCCGTGTGGATGTGACCGCTGCCATCGACGCTGTTGTGTGGATGTTGTCATTAACAACCACTGCAGCGGAAGCGGGGGATGAAAAAAACCGTCTTGGTCTGTTTTCGTAGGCCTGGTTGTGGTCGTCATCATCCTTTCGACGACTTTCTTCTTCTCGATCGTTTTTTTGGGCGGGCTCCTGTACTTTTTTTGTCGTGGGTGGAGATAGCATTGAAGGGGTGTTCTTGGAGGAAGCAGTGCGTGGTGTTGGGTGTTGCCTTTGTTGTCGACGCAAGGCAGCAAAATGGAGTCACATCGGTCGAGGACAGATCCCCGTGCAGGCATTGACGGGGGATTCCAGTCCCAGGACATGCCCACGCAAGGATCTGTCCCGTACTCCTCGCCTTCACCGGAGAAGGCGCAGTCCTTCGGTGGGCAGTTGCACGAGGGTGTGAGGGCTGGGCCAATTCATGTCCCACCTGCTCGTGTCCCCTCTTCACCAATCCCTTATGCCGCACGTGCACGTCAGCGGTTCGATGTTCAGCCATCTGCACACACTCTGCACGCGGTCCCCGTGCACACGGGCCAAACCTCATATTGCACACAGGTTGGAGGCAGGTATGGCATGCTCGGTCCACACACGTTCCTTGTCGGTGGTGGGTATGGCATTGTCGTGCACATGTACCCCACCCAGCACACTGTGGAAAGGGGGAGAGTAATGAGGGATGATTGGCAGTGGTCCCCGCAGTGCGGACAGACGTCGCAACTGCTGCATGGCGGAATGTCCGCTCCCTCGCCCATGTCAGTTAGGCGGTTTGTTGCCAATCCTTCGCCTTCAATGGTAGATGTGCAAGGAGAGAATATGGATGAGGGGTGGCCAATGTACAGTGCTACCTCGTCGTCTGCCGGGTTGCAAGGTTATTCCTTTGTTGGCGACGAAGATGAGTATGTTGACGACGAAGGTGAAGGTGATGGCGGTAACACGGATGCGCATAATCCCAACAACATGCAGGACGACAAGGACAGTGTTGGGCAGACAAATAGGGATTAAAATGTGGTTGGGCCCCAAAGCAGCAGGCGTGGAAACAAACCGGGAGGCAAAGATGGTGCTGCAAAAAACAAAAAACAGAACATCCCATGGAGCTTAAGGGAGAGGATCACACTGTCGAGATTGATGGCCAAGGATGATGTTCTAATGGCCGACGCCGAGGGCCAGCATCGGTTCAAGAAGAGGAAGGAGCGGTATGAGTGGGTGCACGATCCAATGGCGGATCACGGGTTTCCGCACAGGTTTGCGGAGGATTGCCGTAAGAGGTGGCAGGGCATGATGGCTGCACCAAATATTATTCTCGACAAGTGTGAGAATGCTTCGGGCAAACCTTCATACTGGGACATGACCATGGACCAGCGGAAGGCGGAGCAGGTGCCACTGACCTTTGAGAAAGCGTTGTGGGAAGCGATAGAGTGGCAACTCAATCGACCCTCCATCAAGTGTGACAACACGCTCGCATCGGAGAACTTGCCGGGTAATACGGGAGGGGCATCAACGAACACCGGTCCGACACAACCCGCTTCAGGGAAAAGTGGCTCCGACGGTAGAGCAACGGAAGACTGCGACAGTGCAGCGAAGACGAGGGGGACGAATACAGGCAAAGCGAGGATAAACTACACGATTAGCGGTGGGACAGTATTGGGAAGGGCGATGGAGGGCACGACACGGTCGTACAACAAAGGTCTGGATAAGGCCGTCACCACTCAGGCAAAGGCAACGTCATAGGCCGGCTCAATGATCACGGCGAAGATTGGTGACGTCGCATATGCCATGTGTGGGGGGAACATTGTCCTCGAGATGCTTGTGGGGGTTCTTGCGAGGCGCGGGGGTGGGGGGAACAGCGGGGCACATGGGAGGGCGGGCGCACACCCCTCGTCGCATTAGCATTCGAGGATAACAGGTTACTAAAAAAAAAAAGGAGCACAAAGAAAATATCAATCAATCATACGTATATATAAATATATATCCTAACACTTAAGCAACATTGACCGCGAGGGGATGTCGATGGTCCGCTGCGTGCTGGATCCGGGGTTGAAGTTTTGAGGAGGGGCGGTGGATGAAGGTGATCCAGGGACGGGGAGTGTGCAGAGGGGCTCGCGTACCGAAATGTTCACAACGCGCCATAAAAGGAAAGAGCGCGCTCAGGGGGCCAGGCGGCGGCGGGCGTAGATGCGAGTGAATATCTTGAAGCGCCCGCCGACTTCCTTTTTCTTTTTCGTTTTTCTTTTTCACGGCGTCACGTGGTGTTTTTTTTTTTTCTTTTTCGCGGTTCCCCCGTTTGGACTCTTTCATCCCCCCCTCGTATTTCATGTCGCTTCCCGTCGTTTTTTTAGTTTTCATCCCATTTTCTTTGTCTTCGTGTCGCTTCCCAGTGTTTTTTTTCTTTTATTTTTCCCAGCGTCACCCGACGGGTTTTTTTTTTTGTTCCCCGATTTCGGAACTCCTTCGTTCCCCCCGCGTCTTCCGTGTCACTTCCCGGCATTTTTTTATTTTCTTTTTCGGGGCGTCGCTCGACGACTTTTTTTTTTTTGTTCCTTGGTTTCGAAACTTACGTTCCCCCCGCGTCTTCCATGTCACTTTCGTGCGTTTTCGTTGCCCCTTATGTCGTTTTCCACCGCCGGCCATCGACTGTCACCCACACACACGAGGCCGTTGTCCCCTCTCGGTTCAAAAGGCATTCGGGCGGGTGCACGGTCGTGGCCGCCCGCCCGCCCACACACACAGGCACCCACCGAGCCACACACCCATGGTCGTG